ATAGAAATGTCAAACTTTATTAATTTAAAAAAAAAATTTTTAATTTAAACATTATGAAATATATATGTATATAGGTAGAGACGAGAATAAGAATTTCTTTTAATAAATTCATAAAGTTTAACATTTCTGCGAATTCTATTTACAAATTATCGTGTTATAATATTTAAAATGAAATCTGTGATTCTAAGAATCCCAGAAGCTTCAGATTTTTTTTAATTGACATTGAAATTACATCAAGATTTGAAAAACATTTCAATGTTTAGTAAACTTGATAAAATTTAGTTTCTCGTTATCAAGATTCTAATAACTCACCTATACTTGGTAATATATTCTCATAAATGCACGAACCTAACAGATGGACGAACATCAAATATTAACTAAATGATTCACTTTTGTCGCAACACTAGATAGAATACAAGATGATCAAAGTTCCTTGAGCAATTGTTATACGAAATACGTATAATACATAATGCGTACATGTTTGAAAGAATGATTCATAAAATTATTCGTCGCTTAACATGTTTAGCTTAAAATGGGAAAAGTTCTTGAAACATACCATGTCTAAAAAAAAAGATCAAGGTCGCCATGACTTTTGTCTTATATTAGAATAAATTAGTCCATTTTAGCCTCTGAAGAAAATTTATATCTGTATCATCCATTTCAATGTAAATTTTATAAAGTCAAAAGAAAGCAAGAAGTAAATATTGTATTTTTTTCTTTTTTTTATTATAATTTCGTTAAAATGACATATAATTTATAGTAATTATTAATTTATAGTAAAATACAAAAATAGTCTTTTATTCCAAAATGGCCAATATCTAAATAGTACCAAGAGTGATTCATGATCTTAACTATTCTAATTCACTTTATGTGTTATATTATTAATATTTGTTGTATTTTTACGTTTATAGAAATTAAAGAAAAAAATAAATAATAAATTATTACTGAATATGTAAGAATGTATAAATACGTTTCACCGCAGAATTCTTATTAGATTTGTTATCCCGTAGCGAAAAAATTAAATAAAAATTACCTTATTTGAATAAAAGATCCGAATACCACTCTAATTTGATACAAACGATAATTTTACAAATATTATTTGAATTATTTTTTTTTAGTTCCCCCAAATCCTCGACCTATACCCAATATAATACCCCCCAATGGTAATTCTACCAACAGCACGACAGCTCTTCCAGAAGCTGAGCAGGTAATTATTCCAAATTACTGTTTCGAGTATCGTTCGTCAACTTATAAACATTCGTCTTTTGCAAATGTAATTTGTAATATTTCCATACTGTTCAACAGGTAGAGCGAGCGAGACAAAGGGTACCTGAGATAATAGGAATCGCCATAGCTTTCGTCGCGGTATTAGCAATATTGTTGAGTATAGTCTACTGTGTGAAGAAACGGGGTTATAACATGAAATCACAAAGGAATTCCCTGGATGTACGTCAATCAAATCATATTACAGTGCTAATTCAAAGATAACGTAACATTAAAAAATTGTTGTTTGCAAGAATAATTAGAAGACAACGTTAGAGTAATTTCAATTGGTTACCAAGTTTCCGTTATTAATGTAATATTATATCTTTAAGTACAATAAATACAATGATATTGAGTACAATAACATTTTTGAGTATATTAATATATTTCCTGGAGAGTCATATAACTTGATGCATTTTTGATTGTGAAAATAATTTGAATTTTTAAGGAAATATAATGAAGAAATTGTGACATTGAGATTATCGTTTCTAAGAGGAGGAAATACAACGTAATGTTAATTTATGCTATCTTTTTATACACTCTATTGACACGTATTTTTACATTACTGTTTATTTCCTCTTTACACGTTTGAGATATTCAAAACATTTAGTCTAAATTTCTTTTTAAATAAAAATTTATTTACGTATAAAGACAGAGTATTTCTTATTAGTGTAAATAATTGTACAGTTTTATTTTGTTAAATTCAGTCTAATACGGACTTATAATACTATATAAATAAGTAAACTACTAAAACTAAATGCTGATTAATTGAAACTCTTAACACAATTTGTTTTTACTTATTTTTCATCTACTTAAAATATATTTTTATTACTTATATTATATCGAATAACGTTTAGAAAACAACAAATATACCTATATTTTTATCACAGTTTTCAAATTAATCATTGTTATTATAATTTCCTCTATTTATTGGTACAGTTGTATTTATTGTGAAATAAATTGAGAAATAAGAATTATATCACATGAAATAATTGTATAACTCAAAATAGTTTGAATTTGAAATTTAATAAAGTGTTATTGTTTAATGTCTTGATCCTTTATATATGTATATACATCAATGTAATTAACTTATTGCCTATGAAATTTGCATATCAATTAGTAAAAGATATTTAGTTGCTTAAAAAATTGTTATGAAAATAGCTTGCATATGTTCTCTTCAGGGAACACCGATGAATCTGAAAAAGGGATTGCTGCTAGCGAATAAGTACACACCTAATCCACAGTATTTCAGTTGCGCCTCGCCGGAAGTACCGATCCTGCAACGTGAATCTCTTGTATTTTTACAAGATATTGGTGAGGGGTGTTTCGGAAAAGTGTACAAAGGTATGGACCAAGTTTAACAATTGAAGAAATAATTATATCTTATAGTTTTGATTTATTTTTACTTACTTGTACTTGGAAAGTAATGTAATTGCATTTAATTTTAAATTAATTTAAAGTTAAAATGAATATTAATTTAGACTAAAATAAAGTTAAAGATAATTTAATTTTAAATTAGTCCATTAAGTGAAACTCAATCTGATTCGATCAAATTCAATTAACATAATGGAACTGGAATAAAATTTGTATTTTGTAAATGGCATTTAGGAAGAAAATATGCATTATTGTACTTACTAAAAATTATCACGCGAATCACATTTCTTCATACTCTAAACATAAACATGTTAAATTGTTTTTACCAATACTTCAATTTTTTTTTAACTAATTCATTTATTTGCACCAGTGATTATGAAAGTGATCTCTAAATCATATATATTTCGTTCCCAGGCATCAAAAGCCCTTGAGCAAAAACAAAAGTTTATTTAGATGCAATACCAAACTGAATTTAACAACATATTCAATTTTCTGTTATTTTGTGTTTTAGTTTTACTTTGTGATATATCTAAGTGATAATTTCGTCTCTATTAAATTTTTATCTTGCAATTAAATTACTTTTATAATTACGAGCACATTTAAGACTTAATTACTCGATAAAAATTAATGTTTCATAGAGAAAGAAATTATGTTTTCTTAAAATTTCCTAGAAATTTTCTTAAAAGCCATGATTTTCTTTTTCATGGTATAATGTTATTTTGTTTAAAAAAATAATGATAAAACTGAATAATATAATCGTATTTAAAGAATATTTGGCAGTAATTACTAATGAAAGCTTGATTTTCACAGGAGAATTATGTATCGGAGATTCGAAAGAGGTGGTCGCGATAAAAGTCTTGAAGGATACAGCCTCTCGCGAAGCTGAAGAAGATTTTATGCGAGAAGTCGACATCATGTCTACATTTGGGCACAGAAATATTTTGTCACTGAAAGGTGTCGTGCTTCGAGAAGGTAACAGTAGCCCGTGGATGGTTTTCGAATACATGCCTTACGGAGATCTCGCTGAAGTTTTGCGATCAAATTCCCGTCAATTTAGCAGACCAACAAAACCCGGGCTGCAGCCTTTAAATCAAGTAAATTTCATTAAAATCTTACTTTCTACGTTTATTTATAAATTACTTTTCTCTAAATGTATATATAAATTGCATTAACTAAACCATCTTTACCTTTATTTTTTGATAAAATATTAATCAGTTTTGACTATATTATGCATATACAAGATATATTATATTTTACTGATAAAAGTTAAGAAACAAAGGTAATGATTTGAGAATTTTTATATTTTTTATTTTCTGTGACACATATATTGCAATTAAAAATAAAATAAAGAGGAAACATGTTATACATCAATAAACAACACATTTTTTTCTGTTAATATCTTGTGTAAAGCCTATTTTTAATTTTAATCGATATATTTCCGAAAGTAAGAAGATAATTAGCAAATAATTATTTTGTTTCCTAATGTTGTCAGTAGGTATATATTAGTAGTAATCAAAGAGTAATATACTAATTTTTCGTATTTCAGGAATCTTTACATTGGATAACCATCCAAATTGCAGCTGGTATGGCTTACTTATCAGGTCAAAGATTCGTCCATCGAGATTTGGCGTGCAGAAATTGTCTAGTTGGTTCTGACCTTGTTGTTAAGATAGCAGACTTTGGAATGTCTCGGGATGTATATACTTGTGATTATTATAAAGTAAATATTGAAACAATTTATTATTATTTAACTACAATTTATCTTCACAATTCTATAAAATAAATGTGTCAGTTGATAAACATAATTTTCCTATTTTTTTTTAGATAGGAGGTTCTAGACTTTTGCCTGTCCGTTGGATGTCACCAGAAAGCGTAATGTACGGTCGTTTCACGCTGGAAAGTGACGTATGGAGTTTTGGGGTTGTTTTATGGGAAGTTTACTCTTTCGGCAAACAGCCATATTATGGACACAATAATGAAGAAGTAAGTTAAACTATTAATTCTTTCTTTTATATTCAGCAAACGTAGATCGTAATATTACTTTATCATTTTTTTATGATATTAAATTATTTCTTGGTTCTCTTATAGTCAGGCGATTTTTATTATAGCTGATTTAAATTTCAATATTTATATATTAATCAATTGCAATCTGTTGCTTTGCGTATCGTCGAGGGATTATTTGCTGAAATGTTTTAAGAACATTAAATTACGATACAAAATAAATAATTTAAATAGTATACATAAACATTACATAATTACGTTATACTCAAAATTCTCATATGCCAAAATTGAAAGTAATTGTGATACAGAAATTGACAAAAATTGAAATAAGAATGCTATTAATTAACACTAACTTTATTTTCGCAAAAAGACCGTTTTGAACAGTCACATGAGCAAATATTAAACTTCAATTTTCCTTCAATTGGTATAATATTTTTTATTTTGGTATCTCCAACGTTTGTCTACCTATGATATCATTTAAAAACCGAATTATTTTGTATAAGAAAGATATGACTCAAGTTTTAATATTTTTCTTACATTTCATCATGCTTTAAAAATTCTCTCAGGTAGTGAAGTTGATTTTCCAAGGTATAATGCTTATACCTCCAGAAGGATGTCCGCCATTCGTTTGTCAGTTAATGCGTGAATGCTGGAAAACAGATCCTAAGGATAGAATCAAATTTTCACAAATATTAGAAAGACTTGAGAAAGCTAATGGTAAATCGATTCCACAAGATACATTACCAAGGCCACCCCAAGGACCAGTCACTATTCGTACACCAGACGTGTTAGATCCTGATGGTTATTTATTGCCAGCACCGGCTAAACCACACGAATACTTACAAGCTTTACCAGCTTTGCCTGATTGACGATAAGATTGATCAAAATCAAATTCTTTAATAAACGTCAATTTAAGATGAAAGTCAGAAAGGAATCAAAGTTGAAGAATTTCTGAAACTTGTTACAATACTTGTTGCAAGCCATTGCTTGCTTTTATGGCTGTTCCTATTACAGTTTCAGAAAAATGATTCTATTTATTAAACGTACAAAAAGAGTAAATAGTTCTAACATTTTTTAGAACTAGCCGTTTTTAGATTTTGCATACATATCCGATCAGTAAAGCCACCAATAAATATAGTTAAGTCAAATTTGATCCTTCGGTCCGAAAGAATCTGAAAAAAAACAGAATTACCTTTCGAAAAAGTTAAAAAATGATTGAATAATAAATAATGAATGATGGATAATGAACAAAGAATAATGGAAAGTGATGTTTATTTTTTCAACAGAAGAATATATCAAATTTTTAATAATTCGATGTACGTATCTCCGATGATTTTTTAATTACAAAAACAATGTAATAGTAAGGTTAAAAAGAGTATTGAGAAGTAATTTCTAAAGTAACCATTTGCAAACATTAGATACAAAATGACTTTTTCAATGTCAAGTGATCAGTATCAGTATCTGAATGAGTGAGAGATTAGATCACCTTTGAATTAAATATTGAAGATTTCAGTGGCAAAATGTATAATTTTATACTTGTATAAAGTGATATAGAAAAATTTGAAAATTTCACAAGGAACAGTTATTTTAAAAAGATAGATTTACAATAGATTAAATTTATGAATATACTTTTAACCTCTCACTTTCGATATTTGTCTTTTATAGCGTCCGGATTGAAAGACTGATGTAAATTGATTTTCAGCATACTTCTGAAATAATAAATAAATATATTATTTCTGTATAAATTTCATGACATAAAAAATCGCCAAATATTCATATTTTAATTATTTTAAATTAATTGTATCATTGTCATTCTTTTTAACAAGATATTAAAATGCTTCTTGGAAACTAAGAAAGAAATTCAATAACATATGTCTGAAACAAAGCACGGAATAAAATTTGAATATTCGTGCGAAAATAAACGAATGTGATAAATTAAAATAATTATTATAACATTGAAATTACAAATTCCATACATATTCGTTTTAATAAAATTGTTGAAGATGAAAAGGATAAAATATAAAGAAAATAATCGAATACGAATCATTTTTACATATAAATGCAACAAAATTCTAAAATTACTTAAGCAAGAAAGAACAAAATATTTGTTCAATTAGTAATTAAAAATAATTTTTTTGTTATTTAATAACAATATTATTATCAAACCAATTATTATTTACTAATTACTATTGTTAGGCAATAATATTTATACAATTTAGCAACAATGATTAAAAAATAATGATTGGTTTTTAATAAAAAATAATCATTAACTGTTCGATTTTCTTCAATAATTTTCATTCTCGACGATAACTCATAAAATAATTACATATTAATATTATCGATAGAATTATCCAATAAATTCTTCGATCAAAATTACTGATTAATTTGTGAAAATATGATCGATATTAAGTCGATACAATTATTATAATCAAGAAATACCAATGATATCAGGGAAATCGTGAAAGTTCGATATATCGAACCTTCATTGTCCAAGAAATAGTATTAATACTTTTTTAATGCTAAGAAAATGTAACATACTTTTAATAATAATTTATTATTGATTATGATTATGATAATTATTAACGCGTTCGTATATCTAATTTTTTTTCTAACCTCACTTCCTTTCAACGTAATCAATAATTTTGCGTTGCAATTTGTATAAAATGTTGAATCGTGTAAAGTAACACGAGTAGAAGGCATCTTAAGTACATTGTTGTTTTTAGTGTATGATCTGATCATTGTATTAAATCATGTTTTTATTAAATCCTATAACACGTATTTGTTAATTCAAATTTATTCCCTACTTCATTCTGTACGCAAAATAATTTCAAACAAGGTTAAAATATTGTTAATCACTTTTTGCTATTCTTTTTAATTGTAAAACAAATTTCATGTAAATATTAATATTTATAAATAATGAACACTAATTAATACAAAACATCGTATTTAATGAATTTAATTTTAAAAAATCTTCAGAACGAAATGAAGTGTTAAATGTGTATTAGGTAATTGACTTTCAAAGATAAATGTAATTCACTGATAAAAATATTAGGTATTTTAACAATCGAATATCGATTATATAATCGATACTTTTTCTTTATTACTGACACGTTACTGTTATTATACTGTAAAAAAAAAGTATATAATATCTTCTTTTATTAATTATTAGATTCATCTATTCTTATCAATAAAATCGAATGAAAACGAGATAATAAAAAAACACGTGAATTTATTGGTTATCTTCACAACATATTAATTATCTATAAACAGAACTTTATTATTATTTTCAAATTATTTTTCATAATAAATTACTTTTAATACTACTGTTATTTTATATAATTTATATTTTTCTTTTTACCACCTTAATCACATTTATAAGTACACCATTCCACAAAGTATTTAAATCTTCTTTAATTAAACTTGTTTAAACTACTTCCAATAGCTTTAAACTGAAAATGTATGTATGTAGAATCAAAGTATGAAGAGAGTATAAAATTTTACGAAATAACTTCGAAATTTCGAACCTGCTAAGCTCGCGCCAAAAGGTTAAGAATGATTCGACATCCCAGCAATACCGAAAGAAGAAATATTGTTGCTGTGATACGATAGTCTTTTGTTTGGAAAAGATATGCGATCGGATTCGAGAAAGTAAAGAGAGAGAGACTTGTAGTGTTTATTTTTGTTCCATGTTCTATTGACACGACAAAACGCCACTTCCAAACTCGAGCATGTACGACGATTGTATATTCTTGTCATTGCGATTTCCACAGAAATTATGGCGTATAGTGAACGAATGTAAAAGTGGTGCCATACGTTGGAGCTTGAACGGCAATACGATCCTCCTTGACTACAAGAAATTTCAAGAACAGTATCTTGACGCGGGCAATTCTATCTTCAAAACGAAAAACATCACGAGTTTTATCAGACAACTAAACCTATACGGTTTTCGAAAGGTGACATCCCATAATAGAGATCCGATCTGTAATTCCCACAATCCAGACGTTCACGAATTCTTGCACGAAAACTTCCGTACCGGCAGGCCTGATCTGTTGTCAAGAGTATACAGGAAAACTGCCGGGAAATTGAAACACTGTCAACGAATTAATGTAAAAAATGCCGCGGAACAGAATTTTTTAAACAAGAACTCTGATCACGTGTCACGTTTACATATGTGCCGGGTAAATAAATTGAAAGCACTTTGTTTTTCATAATTAAATTAATTTAAAAGTATTGATAGTCAATATTAATGTCCGAATATTCGACAAAAATTAATATATACTATTAAATAGAAGTAACTGCTACATTGCTTGTGTTATTTATATTCATAAAAATTACACATGCTGAAATGGAGGTATAATAATACTAAAAAGTTAACTTTTAAAAGTATTTTTGTTACATTCAATTTTTCTCTTTTTAATTAAATATCGTTCTCTTTTGTAAAAAGAAAAATTCCATTATATATATTTATTGAAACATAATCAGAACAAATCCTTTAAGAAAATTAATATTTCGATAATAACTTTTTATTTCAATACTTTCGAATACTAAAATATATCTACAAATTCGAAAAAATAAATCTGAAATACTTAAAATATAGATGTATCTGTTCTATGTATCCTGTCCTAACTCCTCAAAAAATGTTACACCAAATATTTTTTTTAAGTATTAAATATATCATAAGGAGAACTTTATTCCACGTATTAAAAATTCAAATAAAACTATTTAACTTCATAAAGTACATAATAGTAACATATATAATTTCTGTAAATTTTATCGTTTTCAATTTTTTGCTTTATAACAAAAAATTTATAATATAATATATAATAATTATAACAACACATAAAATAAATTTTTTATAGAATGAATTTTAATAAAAGAAAAAATTTATTAATATAAATAAAATATTAAATACTTTCAAATAATTTAATTCCAAAAAATAAAATTCTTTCAAACATAATACATTTATAACAGTTATAAATTATATCATATGAAATGATTCGATTTTCTATGATTACTACATATTTAATAATTATTTGTTTGGAAATTATATCAATATATAATTACAGCGATACAATTATAATCGATTATATTGATAAAAATTCTAATTCAAAATACTATTTAAAATTTCAAAACACTATAAATGTACTATACTTTTTTTATAAATATCGTTGTACCATCTATTGAAACATTTTTACTAATGTTATAATAATTCATTTAACATTTTTCTCATTATTGTTAATTACTATATTATTTACTATATTACATATGAAAAAAGTAAACAAATTTTTAATTATAAATTCAATGATTCATAACATTTTGATTTATCTATTATTATTTTCAGTTGGCATTAACGAAAGCCTTAGAACAAATATCGCGAGAATACCAACAAACACAAAATCATGGAATAAAAGATGAAAATACATTAAATTCTACAGAAAAAGGTAGTATAACCCAATACATAACATATTAAAATTGTAAAATATCTATCTATAGTTAAGATTTAATCCTGAGAAATATGTAAAGCAAATAGATCAAAGTTCCTTTAATTATCATTACTTGAAGATTATAATAAAGATAAATTAATAAAAAAATAAGAAAAGATATCTTTGTATAAAACTGAACATGTTAAATATGAAGGAATTTCTTATTTCATCATTTATAAAGATGTAGTAACGTTAAAAACAAATAACTTTAAAATTATAATATTTGTTCTTATTAATCAGGTTTAATGTAACGTCAAGAACATTTCCTATATGTAAATTTTATAAACTTTTATACCAATTTCAGTATTTAGCCTTAATTTATATACACCACAAAATCATGAACCTACCATAGATTGGATTACAAAAAGTTCAGTATCAATTTCTACAAAAAAGGATAACTCAAACAATACACACCTTACTCCTAATGTTTATGTAAAGTGGACAAATATCTCTAAAAACATTAGTTAAATTGTCTGTAAGACATGTTCTTTAAACTTTCTGCACTATCAGTATTACTACAATATTTAAGTGATTTTGGAATGATAATTATTATTTAAGGAATAAACATTATAAAAATCAACATTTTCTATTATATAATTATAAAATGTAAAGTTTATAATATAAAATATTTCTATTAAATGTATAATTTATTTATTTGTACAATTTTTTATTTATTAAATTATCAATAACAAAATTTAATTCTTAATATAAACATTTCTATATAAACTATGTGTTACTGCTTGTTGTGGGTTGATTAGTTGGATGTTTCTTTTGTTGCATTTTATGCCTATGTAAAAAATTTGTAAAAGATTCTGCTTCTTTCTTTTCTTCTTCATCTTCTTCTTCTTTAAATGGGTTTTCTGTACCTTCTTCATCTTCACTTGATTCATTACCAGCATGTTTTAAATATATGTCTGAAATCTCTCTTCCACTACTAATTGTTGTTACTAATGGCACTCTTTCTCCTGTAACTTCTTCAGTTACTTTTTGAAGTTGTTCTTGCTCTGTTTTTTGTCGCTGAACATCTCGTTTAATTTTCATCTTCTCCCAAGCTTTTTTATATACACTTTAACAGCAAACTCTTTTTTACATTTCATACTACCTTATAAAAATATCTATTATTATTTACTTGCTTAATTTACCTTTCATACTCTTCTATAGCATCTTTAATAAGTTCAAGAAACTTAGTGATACCAGCTCCAGTTGCAGCAGAAACTCCACAGCTACGTAAGTGACTATAAAATTCATCAAGTGTAAGAGCCATGCTACGTGTTAAGTTACTAATATAACTTGTTTCTGAATCTAAAGCTTCTTGAAATGCTTCAAAATCTTGCATCCAATCTACTGCATAACTATGTTCGACAATATCAATCTTAAAAACCATAATTATAATTGTATCATTAGCTTGAAAAATCCAAACATTATTATAAAAGTGTAGATTTCTACATGCATATATATATTATTAACTGTTTAGTTTTATAATTATAATTAAAAACAAATATGTAAAGTAATATATTCAAAACTTTATATGTAACTTTATGGGTATAACAATTACCTTATTCATAGCAACAATAAATGGTAATTTGGTTCTATACAGTATAGAACATGCATAAAGCATATTAGACATGAATGTCACAGGATTAACACTTCTTACAGTATCTAATATATACACTATAATCGTTGGAAATTGAGATGCCAAAGCTTCTGTTATGATTGTTCCACTTGCTGACCATGTAAAAACTTCAATTTGTCCAGGGGTATCCAAAATTACATATTCATGTTCTTTGCCTGCTTTATCAATAAGTTCTATAACTTGATCAAATTTTGTAGAAAAAAGATTTAAAGCAGTGACAATACCACCATTTGGACCTAAACTATACTGTTTCATTACTTCTTTGTAATTGACAGTATCTCTAATATCTGAAACATTAGGAATTTTGTAAAATATACTTCTAATAAAAGTATAAT